TTTCCTTACAAAGGCAGGCTGTGGAATCTAGCATTTACTACTGCTCAGTTCTTCATTTTGCAAACTGTGTCACTCACCTACTGTTTGCCTGCACCCAGAGTTAAAATTTCTAGAAAGTATATGCCTATAATCTGGATTTAAAATGCTAATGCAAACAATGCACTTGGATTCTCCTAATTTCACAATATTTTTAGCCTGTTTGAAGTTCCCCCTACATGAATACTTTCATATATATTTTATATAATATACATATCTGTTTATACTCTGAATAGACACTGACAAGCATTTTGGATATGAAAATGATGTTAAAAGCACCTGTTTCACTGACAAATCCACATATGATGAACCACCACCTATTTCTAGGTTTAAAAAGACAACACTCCTCCTACCCAGCATTTTTGTCTATCAAAGTATTGAAGTGATTTAGCAGAGTTGTATTCTTTTAAAACATCGGAACAAGCTGGAAAAATCTGCAATAGCACAAACACATTTTAGCACCAAGACAATTGAAAAGGATTACTGTATTCTGGATGCAGCAATCTGTACCGAACATCTAAAAACCTTAATCACAAAACAGTGCTTTCCAAACAGTGAACATATGCAGATTTGCAAAACAATAAAAGCATGGTTCAAAGCTGTATCTATGAACAGTACTGAGGAGAGAATAATCCTATTTCTTGAAGCATGGAGCAGCCTATGCTGCAACTACTAAATGACTGGTTATAGTAACTAGCGTTTGAACAGAAGCAAAGCAGAGAGAGAGAGAGAGAGAGAGATATTTAGAGAGAGAGAGAGAGATTTAGAGATTTAGAGAGAGAGATATTTAGAAGTGGAATATGAGAAAGTTTCAGGGCAAATCTGAAGCCCCTCTTTAAAATGTCCATATTTACTGCCTGTTTAATTGAAATGTTTGCATCTCTCCATTTATATTCTTCTGTAAGTATTTATAAACATTACTTTCCACTGTTTTTCTTTCACCATGATGATGCATAACACCCACACTATACAAATTAAAACCCAAAAATCTGTCCCTTACAAACTCGGGGTGCAGCATAAGTTAGAAAATTCTGCCAACTCTAGCTTTTGTTAGAAAATGTAGTTTCTCTCCATGCTTACACCTGGTACCTGCAGTTCTGTTCACTGCATAGGAGATTCACCTCACCTAACCTTAGAAGACTAGGTCAGCTAAAAATCATGGGCAAAAGTGTACTAACTCGCCTCAGCCTCCCTACAAAACCAGTGAGGAACACAGGCAATTTTAGGACAGCATTCCTACTTTAAATAGCATGAGATGAGTCACATCAACAACAAAAAATAAACCCCCTTATTGCACTCCCTGCCTAAAAGTGATTCAAGAAGCTGTCCACACCGAAGTCATCTGAAGTTAGATAAGGTGCATCTCCCTTAAGTGCCAAAAAATAATCTTTCTGTATCTACAAACTGACCCATTCAGCCGACCGTTCAGACTAGTCAACTGGTTTCTTTGTTGCTTCCCTAGTTCTACAAGTCACTGTGAAACATCAGAACCATGGAAGCAACAGAGAAACTGTTTAAAACAACCTTTAGTTTAACCTTGGTAGCTAAGTAGTAATGGAAAGAAGTAGCAGAGCTGTCTTTTCACCAGGAGTAACAGCAGTAAGAGTTCCAAGATCACTTGTTTCAGCGAAGGTCAAAGGGATCTGGATCAGCTCTGTTCATTCTTTTTCCCAATCTTTAAGCAGGAAGAGCCTGTGCTGCTTCCTTCCCCCAGACCTTGTATTGAAAGGGTAAATGCCACTGAGCTTCTGTAAGAAGTGCATGTGTGTGCATTAACTTGGGGGACTCAGTAGTGCAAAGTATTGCTGAAGATTGCCCACAGGAGAAAAAGCCACAGAAAATATTACACCTATATAAGCAAGAACACCCACAATTAAAGTCAACAATACAAAGATCCTTAAGAAACGTATGTTTAAGAGAGATCTTCCATGCTACTCCAGAAGCATGAAAAGTACTTCCAAAACTCCTTGACTTACTCATCCTCTTCTGTTTCTCCCCTTCTCAGTATTTTCACGTTTGCTTACTAGACATCACTGCACAACAATTACTGACACTGAGGTTCCTGAATAAAACTATGTGCAGTGTTTAAAAATATTTTTATCATTGAGATACTGTTGATCTCCTCCCTCCTACCCATCCGCTCCCTGCTCATTCATTCACCCTCAGAACTGACTGGAAAAGAAATTATGCTCTTGTGTTAGAAACACCTCACTCCAACACTAACAGAACTCAACAACAATATTTATGTTTTAGGAGGTAAAAGACCAAGTAATCATGGAGGTAAGAGAATAGTTATTGACATGTTATTTCACAATCTTCATTTTGGTGGCATATTCCCCTGACATATCATCCTTATTTTCATGTAACAGACAGAAGCAGAAAAGCACTGGGGACAATTTGCTCTACTTGTTCTTAAGCTCCTAAAGTGAGTAAGTCCATAAACTACCACAGCAGATGAACTGATGCAACAGCTAAAGGCTTCTTTGGTTTCTACTATGCCACCACACGTTCAGGCAATTCTGTACCTGAGTGAGGGTTTCAGATAGGTGTTAAACAGTTTAATGTATTCATCTGGGTCAAGACAAAAGATCAAAGCCTACCTCTTGTCATGGGTAAGAAATCTCTCAATAATTATTTCTTATTTTCCCTTTTGAGAGAAGCATTCTGAAGGCCTCTATCTCTCCTTATTGACTCAACAGGAATCAGGATAAACAGTGAAGGCAGAAATGTGTAACTCCTACTGCCAGAACAATATCCATCTTTTCTCCTCTGCAGAGAAAAGAACATGGCTGCCCTTAAAAAAACCCTCAATTTGGCAAATGTCCCAATTTTCAAGAAGGGCAAGAATGAAGACCCTGGTAATTACAGGCCTGTCAGTCTCACCTCAGTGCCTGGTAAAATTACGGATAAATTTATTCTTGAAGTGATTGTAAAACACTTGAGAGAATGCAGTCATTGGTCATAGCCAGCACAGGTTCATGAGGGGAAAGTCCTGCCAACTTAATTTCCTTTTAAGACAAGGTCACCTATCTCGTTGACCAAGGGAAACCAGTAGATGTGGCATTTTTTGACCTTAGCAAAGCTTCTGATATTGTCTCTCACAGCATCCTTCTAGATAAACTGCCCAGCACACAGCTAGACAAATCCATAATACACTGGGTAAGCAATTGGCTGATGGGTTGGGCTCAAAGGGTTATAGTAAATGGAGTTATATGAGAGGCTGGTGGCCAGTCACCAGTGGGGTTCCTCACAGCTCAATTTTAGGGCCAGCGCTCTTTAATGCTTTATAAATGATCTGGATGCAGGAATCAAAAGTACATCAAGTAAGTTTGCCAATGATACTAAACTAGGAGAAGCTGTGGACTCTGTCCAGGGTAGAAAGACCTTACAGAGAGATCTGGATAGATAAGAGTGCTGAGCAGCTGCAACCATATGAAATTTAACAAGAGCAAGTACTGGATTCTCCACCTGGAACAGGGTAATTCTGGTTATACATACAAACTAGGGGATGAGAAGCTGTAGGGCAGCCCCACAGAAAGAGATCTGGGGTTTTGGGTTAATGGCAAGTTGAGTATGAGTCAACAGTGTGCCTTGGCAGCCAAAAGAGACAACTGTGTCCTGGGGTGCACCAAGCAGAGCATAGCCAGTAGGTTGAGGGAGGCGACTGTCCCACTCTACATCAGACTGGTATAGCCCCACCTCGAGCACTGTGTGCAGTTTTGGGCACCTCAATGCAAGAAGGACATCAAGAGTGTGTCCAGAGGAGGGTGACCAAGGTGATGGAAGGTCTTGAAGGCAAGACTTCCGAGAAGCAGCTGAGGTCACTTGGTTTGTTCAGCTTGGAGAACAGAAGGCTGAGGGGGGACCTCATCGCAGTCTACAACTTCCTCAAGGGGGGTAGTGGAGAAGGGGGTGCCGATCTCTTCTCTCTGGTGACCAGCAATAGAAGAACATGAGGAAATGGAATGAAGTTGCATCAAGGGAAGTTCAGATTGGACATTAGGAAAAGGTTCTTTACTGACAGGGTGGTCGGCCACTGCAATGCTCCCCAGGGATGTGGTTGCAGCATCAAGCCTATCAGAGTTCAAGGAGTGTCTGGACAATGCTCTTGTCATGTGGTTTAGTTTTAGGTAGTCCTGTGATGAGTATGGACTTGGACTTGATGACCCTTATAGGTCCCTTCCAACTTGAGATACTATGTGATTCTATAGATTCTCTTCCTCTTTGAAAACTTTGTAGAATTGAGGCTTAGCAACAACAATAAAGGCATGTGAGGTATCTATCGGGTAACAACAAGTGTTTCCTTATGAATTCTGCAGGAGTTGCCTCCTCCCACCCCTATTTCCTTAATGACTGTAACTACTCTTGACCCACGTATACTCACAAAGAGCTTTATGTTAAAAAAGACCAAGTGGGACACAAACAATGTACACCTTGTTTCTTGTGCAGGAGGAGAGGACACATTTTCTAAGTGTTTTCCTGTAAAAGTTGTCTTATTTCTTCCTATATGCAGCCATGTTTTCCACTGTCATACAAAAGACACCACCAGCAGCAAATTAATTACTTCCCCAAATACAAGGGAAGGGCATGGCCAAGTAAATGTGATATCTTTAAATATAAACTCAGAATATATACTAAAACTTGTGACACCCTGTTCTATATAAACTGTTTTATCTGCTCTAGAGCGAGTAACCAGCATCCTGAAGGTTTCTTTGATGCAAAACGAAAATTGACTTAGCTGCATAAAGAAAACAAATACCATTTGAAGGTAACCTCTGTTGGTTTTACCAAAATATCTCACATTTATATAAAAGATACCGACTTAGCTGCTTCCATTACCACTCCTTTAGGTACTAGTATTTTTATTGAGTGAATTTTCAATTTTGTTAATTACTGTAACTTACAGAAAGTTAGTAATACAAAGACAATAAACTAATGGAAAAAAAATTCCCGTGACACTGTACCTTATTGAGTTTGCCAAGGGAAGATATAAGATCTGCCCATTCACTTGACGATTCAAAGTTTCTTAAAGCTTTCTCAATTGCTGAAGAATAATTTCTGTATCTGTAATCGCCAAGTAACTCCTGCTCTTCTGGATCCATCTTCGGTTCTCATAGCAAGGTGAAATTTCCTGGTAAACTAAAACATGCACACAGTTACAAAAGGTAACCTGCATTTAAATTCTGGCAAACCAAAAGTACTGTAAGATAATAATAAATATGTAGAAGCACTGACAGATCACAATAAACAGGTTATCTGATCAAGTTTCAACACAAAGTTAAAAATAATTTAACAGGCATGACTTCAACTCTGCACTGCCTATTTTAGAAGTTTTACAGTCACATTTTCCTGTTTATAAAACATGTTTTTTGCTTCCAGAATAACAAAGGAAAGGAATATAAAGTCTCATTATAAACAGTTGAATTGCTGACAAGGAGTTAGGGAAAAGTAAATAGTTTTCAAAACTTACCACCTGTTTCAAAAGGTTACCTATAGCCGTGGAATGTTAAACATTTCATATCAAAATTCAGCTTTGCAGAGGAATCCCATTAAAGGGCCTCAGAGACCACACCAGAAGAAGCTCTCAGAACTCTGCATCTCAACTTGTCTGCAGCAGATGCCCAAGTACAAGACTAACCTGCTGTGCCAAAGTGTCAAGGCACACATTCAAATATTCCTTTATTTCACCAAAAAGTATCCATCCATTTTTACTGAGGAAAAATAAGCTATTCAGACCGGATTTTCTCATATTCTGTAACACATTTAGATTAAAAAAGCAAAACACACCTGTTCTAGAAAAATAGGAAACAGGCATGGCTGGATTTTATGCACTGAAAAATCATACCTTCACTCCTATGCTGGCTATGACACTCGTTTTCCTGTTAACTAATCTATAAATATTCTTCTAGAGAGATGCTTAGATTTAGGAATACCAGGTTTAAATTAATCCATATTATATCACTGATACAGAAAAGAAAGCATAGTCCTGTAACAAAACATTATAAAATGTTTCTAAAAGATAGCTGCTTTAATTTTTCTACTGTTAGGACTCAAATAATTCTAAGTAGCCTTCTATATTCTTTTAAAGCAGCTCATCTCTCACAGCACTTTGAAAAAAATAACCAACAGAGGAACTGTGTATTGCCCATTAACTTTAATAAAAAACAATAACTACATCAAGGTTTTGGTAGCAAACTCTCAGAAATGGAAAAATGCTGGAGGCACCCACAAAAGAGAAAGGATTTTGAAGGCAGGTTTAAGCCACTTTGGCACTCCCTGATAGTAGGATTCAGCCATTGCAAATACAACCACTCAATTTCATCCAACCTAAATCCACCTCTATGGAAAAAAAAGTATTCTCACACAGTGTCATCAGGTCCATGGTTGGTTGGTTGGTTTGTTTTGCTACAGTAAATGTTTGATTTTCGGTTGCCACCAGAATGTATGTAGTGCTTCTCACAGGAAACAGAGTAAAAAAAACCCACTGCCTTGCCGGGCATAACATCCATCTGGGACACAACTATCCTTGCTCCAACAAAGATTTTTTTTTAAAATGTCAACCCTCCCACAAAACCTAACAAAGTGTCAAACCTGCAGTATACCGTCAGTACAAATTATAAGTAATCTGATATTAACACTGCTTCAAAACAAGCAGAGGAAGAAATTTTCCCTCATCTCACATACGCACATTAATCACTGGACTACTGGACAGTATTCATACTCCCTAGAACAAAGCACAAGCTAGGAAGTATCCTAGCAGCTCTCTGCCAAGCTGAGTGCTGCCGCCTCCATAAATAAGTGATTTGTCTGAATCATTTAGAATAGGGCAGAAGTTTTGCTGACAGAACATATCAAATTTCTTAATTTGCAAATGCAATATACCCGCATGAATCCACTTAGAGAAGAGGAATCAATCAAATTACCAATAGCACTTAGAGACGTTCTAAATATTCTATGAAAATCATGTCTTAAAGTATTATCATAGCATTAAAACCTGGTCTATTAAAGTAAAATCTGATTAGTTTCCAAAAGTAAATCAGAACGTAATACTCAAGGAAAATAACAACCTAATAAAACTTCAGTTGGGGGGAAAATTCGTCTTATTCAGTTCTTAAGACACTTTATTTGGACTTTGCAGTGAAAAGACAGGTGAATAGCGTATTCCCACCCAGGAAAGCAGCGATGGACTTAATGGTTCAGTTTGCATTGATGTTCACATGCCTACGCTGTTAGATGTCAGCAAGGTTTGAAAAAACCCCAATAATCTAAATATGGCCAATCGGGCATGTTTGTGCTTACACAAATGCAGGAAGATTAAAAGAGTCAGATCGGAAGCCACTTGCCGGTGACCTTCAGGTACATCTTCCAAATGCCAAGTCACAAACTTCCTCAGTCAGTGGAGACGTTCACGGTTACTCAATCCACTTTCAACGTCGTCTTCAGACAGGCTAACGAGGCGGGCGCTCCGCCGCCGACCCCAGGGGACGAGGCGCTGCCTCCCCGGGCTGCGGCCCCTCCCGGCTGCTCGC